ATTCAAAAGGATGGAGAAAATGGATCTGGAACATGTTCCCCACATTATGTTTGAAGTTCTCTACAACCTTCCAGAACTCAATTGGACAGACCGGAGTTATCTCGTAGATGGATGGAACTGATCGTTTTATTTGGTTGGGTAGAGGAACAACGGCGAACCATGGATCTAATTACTGTACATTTGTCTGGAATTTATTTCGTGCGTCACAGAGTTACTTTGATGCGGATCACATGTGACCACCTTTCTGTAGATCTCACAATAGTTTCTATAAACATCTGGAGCAGTATTCTCATCCGTATTAAATATAACAGTTGTGCCACTACAGTGTACTAACCAATGAAACAATAGAAAAAATGTTTTAGTGGAAACAATAATTAATCTGTCAGTACGAATATATAAAATCTCAACTGGACAAGGAAGAACAAAGCAAACCTAAATGTAGTGGGCAGAATGTTCACAACTGAAATATGTACAGCACTGTCGAAAGTCAAATCATGGGAAGATTAATCTAACTGATTCATTCAAGTGAACAATTTATGCTTTATATGATTATACAGGCAGCATGTGATAGTTGGTGATGACAACATTTGCCATCAATGTTTTTTTCCTGGTCTGCTAAAATTTAGTTCCTTTGGACGGGCTGGACCTCTTGCATTATTTCAGATTGGCGGGAAGTAACGTACGCGACCATTGGTAGATGTCATCAACTACTAAGTATCATCTGGTTGTTCAAAAAATATGCTAAGAAGCTGGAAATCGAGTCATGTGAGAAACACTGCAAGATGTATTAAGAAAGAGATTGAAAACGAATATGATCATTGACAGTAATGCATAGAAACTGATCTAAACCTTTGTCAGATTGTGTGAAGAAAGACCCACTAAAAAAACTAATATCAGATGCAGTTGCGTCAGGGGCAATGTCAATGTAACACAATATCACCAAATGAGAAATAACCCGCCTAAAATAAGCAAACTAAGAAGTAGCAATGAACTGAAGTAATACACCAGCGGTTTTATATCATTTTTGATAGACTTAATCAAACCACTCTGCCAGATCCATCTAGAGAGTTCCCACTTTGATCTCCTCGAAAAGTGCCACATCCATCAATATTGCACCATGTCATTTTCAATAATAGGATGTACTAAACATTCTGGACTATAGAACCACGCTCGCATTCTTTCGTCCTTTTTTTAGTATGCTCTTGACATCATCAAGTTTCCCCATGACTTAGGGAACGCTAATAAAATTTATACTTGGGACGGGTATTTCACTGACCAAAAGTTTCCTGAGTGCGGTTTTTAGTTCGATGTTCTGAAAAGGTATTTGTCAGTCGCATTCAGTGATATCCTACTGAGTGCTCTAAAGTCAAATTATGATAATCACACGAGATAAAAAACAAAGATTTCAAGATATCGGAGCTTCGGAATAACATTTGACCTTGAGAAGCCAGTGATTTAAATTAAAAATGACTAGTAAATGTTTCTCTCTTAGAATTTGGCAAATAATACAACCTGATAATGAGACACAAGCAAATTCAAAGCCATTAAGGCAGTAGATAGTTAAAAACCAAATTACACTAAGCAACACTTGAAGTGTAAGTGAGTTATTTTATTTCAGAGCAAAAAAACGTTTTGAAGTTTAATGCATGAAGCTATAGCCAGTTTCCTCTTACTAACCGTCCAATTTGATCAAAAATAAATCAGAATTCATTCTTCTAGAATTTCCCTAATTTTTACCCAATATAAGCTTTTAGTTTCCTGTCGAGTGTCTCTTCGCATTTCGTTATTTTTGCATAACCAGTGTGGCGGACTTTGCGATTCGTGTCTAGTTCACTTTGCATTTCTATTTCCGATAAAACCCGAAGACGACCGGAATTTGAAACAAGAAGATAGTCTATCGATCTTTGTGTAATATGAACCATCGGAAACACATGTATGAAAGAACTAATGAATTAATAAAACGTTTGTGCTTTCACTTCTGTTGCAATATTTTTTCTAGGAAATGTTCCAGAAAATACGGGACTTTGGGTGATTCACTTCACTGGATATCACAGTTGATTTTTTGATTACTCTTATTTCACCGCGGTACCTGACCATCGTGATTGATTGCATGCTGTGTTGGTTATTCAAACAATTCCCGTTCAAATGTAAAACTTATTGTTTAACGAATTCATTATTATTCGTGGTATCCATAAAGAAAACTTAATATTTTTTATTCCGAAACTCCGAAGTTCTAAGAAAGATGCCGAATTCGTATTTCCTCCCCGAGAACAGGTATCTCTATGATAATCGTAAGGTAATAAATATAGTGAGTACTGGAGGATTTGATTCGGGTTGAAAGGTGAAATCGTCGTGAATAAAGTAAATGAAGCATGAAACAAGTAGAGCATTTGTGAATGTTATCAACCGAGTCATAATCCGGAGGCTATTACTGAGATGAGCGAGGTCTAGGGCCGGCACAAGCTCGCAAAGATGGGTTGTGCTATATCGTGTAAATGGAAAAAGCTATCTGATTAGTTGGTGGCCGAGCGGCTAGCATGCCTACGTTCTGCCTGTGAGGTACTGAGTTCAATCCCCAGTTAGGTCCATGGATTCGCACTACTGATGAGAACCATTCAGGTTGAAACAGATGTTCAGTGTTTCCCAGCTTTTCCGTTTACGCTTTTTTGCTATATACACGACGAATTCAACCTTTTAACTCATATAGGTTCCATCTTTATCGCATAATAAGAATCAGGTTTGAAGACACAAAAGGAAACCCAACTAGGATTGAGAATAATCAATAATACCCAAGCTGTAATAGAATTTCAGCCAATGGGCATCCAGTACCATCAATCAAAACCAGAATATCAGTCTGCCACGTAATATTGACCTGGTGTTCTCAAAAGGACTTAACATTACACAAGTGATTGGCGAAAATGTTTTCTGTGTTGAGAATTGGGGGTTTTCAGAAAAATCATTTTGTTGTGTACCTGCTTTGGCTATACATTTACGTTTCGTGAGGTAAAAACGATAAACGTTTTGGTGTTCAGCTGAGTTTGTACGAGACATACAGCAGAGATTGACAGTAAACTAACCACCTACAATCGAAGAGAATTTCTCAAGTCGTTTTCAAAATAATTAGTATGTCTAGCCTCATCAGACAAGCTGATGTTTCTCCACAGCTGCGTACAGTCTGCATAGCTTTGTAAAATGTATTGTTGAACTTATCATTTATCTCATAGAGGAGGAGAGACATCCAGTAATTACATTCATTTGGTTTCATTTTACGCGGCAAGGTTAAACTTCTGATCATATTTATCTTTTATACCGACCGCATTTGACCAGGATAATAAAGAATTGGAATTTATCTTTGAGAGCATATTCGTCACGCGGTTTGAAAGTGAAGTACACATCCTTTGACCAGTTTGCCCTAGTTAGAAGATATGTTGATTATATGCTCATCATTGGACAAGACCGACAAAAAGTAACTTATTGCTTTTGAGTCATGAACGGTTTGAAGAAGCACACATTTCTCATTGCAAGAAGCACTGGACGACTGTATACGATTTNTTAAGACATTCAAATGGCAAGGAGGCAAGATGAGACGAATCGCAGAACTCTATATCACAAGAGTACAAGGACGGGTCAATATCTACATCTTTGTAGTTTTGTACCACTCAACTACAAGAGTGGTAGAGTAAAATCATTATTCCATCGGGCAATGTTTGCACCGAGGATAGCTTACAAGGGGATTTAGACCTGCTCGAAACAATTATTGTCAAGAACGGCTACCCTGGCAGTTTTATTTGGAAGTCCAGATGGACACTGGAGCAAACCCAGAGATATATGATGTTCCTGAGAAGAAGGTCACAATTTGCCCTCCTTTCAAAGTCGACGATCTCATCCTGTTTTTCCGAGACCGATTGACACATGTAGTAAAACGTATGTGTGCAGCTGCCAACCATATGCATCCCCATTCCACACACAAAGCAACCACGGCCAATCTCCGCCAAATCGCAAGTCATTTACCAGTTGGAGTGTGGATTAGGCTCATCTTACATTGCAGAACAGATAAATAACTAAAATATATAGTAAACAAATATTTTCATTTCCTTTTTTGTTTATTAATTTTGGAAATGTACAAAAGACTTTCAGGAAGGAGATAGCAGCCATTCAAATATTGTTTAAGGAAATACATGCCATAGGATGGTGGGCGACGGTGGTGTGGTTCGAACTCAGGAACCCCAAGTGATTATTTTGATAACCTTACCGCCCGACCACCGTCGTGAACTATACTTACACACACGGATCCAGAGGAAACATTCCATATTGGATTAGATGATGAGTTTCCGAATCACTTGATCAAATATCATTCTCCACTTTAACCCCTTAAGCCCACACACTTATCACCCACCACTTGCAAACTCAATAGCATTGGACTATTACCAATCGGTCACCCAAAATCAAGAAAAACCGAATACACAAACGGCTGGTGTCCTTTATTACTCAGCATGTTTTGATGACGCGTCGTGGTTCGGATCCGACAATCCGATTTGGGATCATGTATGCTAACACCACTTCCCGGTAAGAAGATTAAAACCTGGTCTGCGTGTGCTAAAAGAACTGTCAGTCACACTTTCACTGTTTGGCACTGGTAAAAGTGTGGTGATTCGCTTGTAACCTGATTTACCGTCCAACTACATAAATTGTTGTTCTCTGCCGTATTGTAAAACCTGAGATTCAGCTAAATCTCTCTTGGCATAAATCATGCAGCCTAGCTATGTTGTGTTCTGCCTTCAAATTGTAAAAACATCGTAAGGTTATGATGGGGAATATCAGATCATATCCGGGAGAGAAAATCCTGTTTCTTGTAATTTTACGCAAAACTGATTTATAATCTTTATTGCGCTTATCATCAACAAACAGGATAAGCGTTTGTGGTCGCTTTCCTATAGAGCCAATTGTAAACTGAGACTGTACCAGGGCACCATGTAATCCCATCATTTTCGCAGCCAACTATGCACGTGAATTACACAGGGCGCACCGCACAACATGACCCAAGTGAGCTAGACAAAAAGTACGTAGAAGTCAATTGGATACAGATCGAAGGTAACACAGTTGCGCACCTTGGTGGCACATGGGAGCGAATATGTGCGTGCGTGCGTGCGTGCATCCACGCCGGCCTACTTACGGGTGTGAATGAGCCTGCGGGATCCGACAAAGCAAACTTGGTCTGGGTCTTAGGCACTAACGCGGAGCAAGCACATATTTAGCCTAGCAAGCTAATCACATGAAGGGGCATTACGGCGATTGTGTGTCTGACTGCAAGATGGAATTTATATAAACTACTCCATGTAGTCATTAAAACAGCCTCGAAAACAAATGTTGTTCATGTACAGGAAATATTGAAAAGATAGTATAAATGGGAATGTTGGGTGAAAATGATAAATGATCCTCCACTTTCTACACTAAGATCAACGTGTGCGCAAACAAATGAAACTCAGTGCGTGGGGGCATTATGAATCAGAGATATTTTCGTTTGAGAAGTATAACAATCAAAGAGAAGCCTTCCGGTTGACTGAGTAAATCATCAAATTGACATTTTGCTTGCATTTAGAAGTGTTAATCGAATGCGTGGTTAGTGGAAACGAGCACATGATATCTATGAAAACGTTGTATTGATTGAAAACTAGATCAATAGAGCTTCACAAGAAAACCAGTGTCGGAAATTGAAGATTCGTTACCGGGAAATCATTTTAACCACTGTTCCAAAGCATAATATGGTTTGAATAATTGTTCGGAGATTGCGAAGGATTGGTACTGTTTCAGAAATTACTTTGATGATTAATAAATGCTTCAAAATACCTGATACTAAACATTTGAACTGTACAGCAGCATGTACGTTTTGTGCCCGCCAGGGGTGGGGAGGGCGTGGGGTGCGGGTGCGGGAGGGAGGGAGTTTATAGTGTAGTGCCTTTGAACCAAGTAGAATGTATTTCATTTCAGTAACGAACTAAAGTGGAAGCTCTGTCTTTGCCGTACGTTAACCGGCCCCTAAATAGTGAAAAGTAAATTTCCATACGCAAGATCAATAGATTGTTTCAACGGTGCAAGAACATAGGCTAGGCGTTACCATTGAGGGGGCATAATTTAGTCCAACTTTTCCTGGAAGCTATTGAATGCAGTCGGCTGATTATGTCTGAGTTGAACAACTGTCAATAGAGAGCAATAATTTGTGTATATACAGGTGTAATGGAAACTGAAGCAACAGGTCCCTGTGAAACATTTTTCAGTTCGTATAGACAACAGCATTTATACTGAAGTGAATATTCTTTTCAAATAGTATTAACCGAGCCTTGGTGAGTCTGTATAGGCGTGATTTTCCTGATTCGTTCATATTCAGCAGGTGGAATGGTTCAGAATGTAGCGGATACTCCCATTTCATCAGTAGTCGTTGACCTAGACAATGGTGAGTTAAGAGGTAACTAAAAGAAATGAAACAGTTTTTATCAACAGCAAATTAACATTGATAATGAGCAAGATGTAAATTGTGTGTACACTAATAGTCCATTATTATTATGCAACCCTATTTAATGCAATTTCTCTGGGTTGTAAAACAATTCCATTTGGTTATCCAATAGAGTTGCTGAAATGGATTATATATTGGATAACATAATGCCTCATAACAAATATCCGAGATGGCAAGGGTTTATGGAAATACTTTGGGATAACTTTTGAGTCATTCCTATTAGAAAATATTGCGTTGTCATACTTGATAAGGTTTGCGGTTTTCATGTTCAGATCATTTATTGTTGGCAACAAAGGTCAGGCACGTTTAATTGATAATCATACAGTCTAGAAACTACGTAGATCGAAGTAGACACAATATAAATTATTGTCTGTACCTGAAGCAATAATGCAGGTGATAAATATATTGAAACTCCATTTGATCATAAAGAAAATGTTTTAGTGCATCACAATCAACCAATTCTTTTTATCTGTATACATTTGCATATATGTAAGAAGACGGTTTTCCACAGGCACCAGGCACTGTTGATGATTTCACTCCTTGGGCTAATCCAAACATTCACCATCTAAATTGATTGAGCCATTCGCACAAGGTGATAACCGTCGAATGGGAAGCTTAAGGGTAAGGGTTTGAAGTCCCATCGCGAAGAGTTTTGGTTCGAGTCCTGTCGGAGACACAAAAAGTACGCACTGTTGACGAGTCCCAGACAGGACCAGACAGCTGTCCAGTGCTCTTTGTTGGCTATCACAAACCTTTCCATTGCATTTGAATGCATACAAACAGTGGGAAACATAACAAACTCCCAAGGAGTGAAACCCACATCGAACATCACCAACAGTGCCTGCTACCTGTGAAAAATCAAATTTAAAATATCTCTTTGCAGTAGAAAGCAGTTAAATTATTAGCCTGTTATCCACTAAATACTTTGAATATCTATTAACTTTTATGATTTATCTGCATTCCGTCGCAATTTATGTTTAATCCGTCGTTTTTTTCGCTCAGTAACACTCACAGTGTAGGATAAGTGTGCCGTGTCGAGATTAGGGGATTTGGATGACGCCTGAGATGCAATCACAACAAGTGTTTAGCAGATGGAGAAAAAAACAATTTTCACGCGAAAGTGAAGCAGACTAGTCAGAGTGAATAAAATTTGAAATATAATCGGATTACGGGCGCCAACAGAGTTCAAGCAGACTTAGACCTCTGCTCCACAACCAGACTGTCACACTCGGAAGGATTCTATTGTTTTTCCGATGTCCATGTTTAATCAAACAAAGTGTGGATTGTATGAGACTGAAATATATACCTAATTTTGCCTCATTCCCTAAATACTCTATTATAAAACCGGATACAAACTGCTTTCCCTGGCTCCAATTTGAAATAATTCCGGTCGTTTTGTTACGGGATCCGTTTAAAAATCAACAAAACCGTCAACTTTCACTTTAGTTAATGTTAGCAATTAAGCAATCAAAAAAAGGGTGTCTTCAATGAAATATTTTGTTTAGATTGGTTGGTGTTGCAGACACAATCGATGATCTAGTTGTACAAACGCTCATAGCTTTTCATGTATGACCTGTTTGTGTGTCCTTCTCTGTTTTCTAAACTAAAGTCAATATCCTGATTGAATGCCTGTCGATGGAATGGGATTTGTTGTCCATCATATAGAAATCAACTGTTCCCTGGTTCGGACACCCTGGGTAATTATGTGACTTGTGTTTGAGAGTGATACAAATCATACTGATAGGACAGTTTGGCTACATTTCGGCAAGAATACGATTCCCTTCTCAAAGCCCATTTTATTTCTGTATCCACGGACAGTACAGTCAGACAAGAAGTAAACACTAGTTCAGTCTAGTAAAAGCCATAACTATGGAGTAGTATCCTTTGAAGTGATATGAAAATTGTGAGACAAATTTGTTTCTTCAAAAATGAAATCATTTATTAGAACTTGAACTATTACATCTGCAATTTAAACTGCTTTTCCTAACTCTTTATCTAAACGTACATTGAGTCTTCATGGATTCTGTGAACTTGATGATTTTAGAAAGTCGATCCCATTGCCATTGTCAACATCTATTGCTAAATCAATGCACTATTTCTATGAATTAGCGAGACCTGACCCAAGGTGTTTCCGAACCCCAAAACTGTATATTAGATAATTACATTTGTCATATTTAAATTCAACAATATCCTACGTAAAACTGGTGCCTCAAAACAGATCTTGAAAAATGTAAAAAAAAACGTCATTAAGTGCATTATTTCTGGTTTTCAAATACTGATATCAGGATATTGATCAGTGGCAATGTTCACGGAGTCAAAATGGTTATAGCAAGGTTCCAAAGGAGTGAGTTGGAATCCAGCCCACACTGCTGTTGTAGATATTTTGCTGAATAAGTTTTGCACAGCTGAATGTGTATTTGTACATGAAAAAGTATACCAAACATTAATAAAACCATCCTTCAACAATTTGCTTAGTATAAGTTACTGTCTGTTATCGATCTGTGAAATTCAAGCTGGAGTTGAATGCAACAAATCATATGATACGCATTGTTCTCGCAGGCTTTAAAATGTTGTTACGTTCAAATAAAACTGATCATTATCTCCATCAAACAGTCTTCTTTAATTGATAGAATTAAGCCAATATTAGGAAAGCAGAGATGACCTTCAGTTATTCTTCTCATTTTCAACAGAGAAATTTTCTTTAGGCAAATTCAAATCTCATTCACATGTTTTACTTCGTTTCATATTCCTTTTCTCTTCCCTACAGCAAACACGTGTCGAGAAATGTGGCGAAGATCCATATCGCAGGGACCAATTCTGTTGTGTTCACTACAAGCGATATCCAAGCACGTGGCAAAACCTCAGTGTTCACTCAACCCCTGCCAGATGTGAGACGCATTATACGTCAGTTCAATCAGGTCAAGCCGGACGGTCTGGTGAGACCTGTGCATAACGCTCCAACTGGTCGAGGTTCACACGGCGACGAATCGAAAGAAACAGCCCCGTGGACCACTGGGGAGATTAGATTGCGTAAAGTGAATAAAGTTTTGCATCGATGGTCACCATCGGAGAGTACGGATTCATCGAATTCAGATCCTGAGAAAAACCACTCGCCACAATCAGATGGTCTTCCTAGTGCGTCTGGAAAAACAGAACAACAACAAAAACTAAAGGAACAACAAGAAGTGAGAAAAACATTCACTGTGCCTGATGTGAAAGTAACTTTTATGGATGACACGGACAGTGACAGTTGCACCCAATCCCCATCAAAGATCACTTCGGACGGGGATTCCACAACCACCACCACCACCACCACCACCATGACGATGTGTGCTGATACGGACAGGGGTACAACTGGTGCTCGTGCTGTCCCTTTAGCTCAGGATGCGGATGACGAAGTGGACAGCACAAGCGAAGACTACTGGACAGACCCGTGGACTGTTTGTCTGGTACGCGGACAAACAGAGGAACCATTCGGTCTCACTGTTCTAAGTAAGTCCGGATTCGCGTAACAGAGACCTATGTAACATCAAGATGCATTGTCATAGAGCAAATCTATTTTTTCTGGTTTTAACCAGTGGCAAAATGATAGGAAATTCCATAAGGGAGGTGCAACACTATACATTTCGTAAGGACGCTGTATTATTATTATTATTATTGTTTTTACGGTTCACATCCCTTATTAGACATCAGAGCTGCGCCAATTTTTATCAAGTCGTTTAATGCTTAATCCACGACCGTAATTAACGACGATGTGAGAAAGCCATCTATGAGTTCTGTTGCAATCAGAGAAGTGGTAGGAAAGCAAACGCTGAATAGTATTCAGTAACACGTGGCAGAAACAGAACAGTTGATGAATAATGAATTGCGTTTTGGCTTTGTGATTTCTGTAACCAAGACCACACAAGCACAGTCCCACTTCGCTCCCAAAACAATCAAAACAGTTATCAGTATCTGATTCATCGGACGTGTATTGCCCATTGCGCATGAATCTCTCTTTCCACTTCCAGCCTCCTCATCCTTTTTCTCTGTGATTTTATCGCTACGTATTTCGTCCTTTCGACCCGCTGTATAAACGCAGTTCTTACCTCTCTTTATTATAGGAAGGAAGCGTTTTTCAGTCTATTTAATATCCATGATAGTTTTGCACATGTGTAGACGCTGTATACGGGGGCTGAATTTAAAGTTTTCCGATATGCAGTAAACGTACGAGGTGCAGATGACCGGACAAGAAAAACGTGAACTGTAATCTGATATGAATGTTGTTCAGTGATCACGACTCACAGAACCAAATATCAATAGCCGAGAGCGCAGCTCATAAGGCATAAGGGTCGCTATACTCGGAAAGTAAGTATGGAACACCGCCGAGGGCGGAGATTTTCTACGACTGGAAAATGTGGTTGAAAAAGTAGAAGAGTGCTGATCGTCTTCGAGCTGCCTTTGAGTGATAACACGCCTACAAGAAGCAGTGTATTACAGTGGTTTGCGGAATTCCAGCTTGGCGGGCGGGCTCTGAAGGATCAGACACGGTGTAGTCAAGTTGTGGAGACCACCCAAGTGGGCAGCAACCCTGTTGCTGTGCAAGCGATAGTGCAGGATGCGCGGTGACAGTGGCGTACAGTCTGTCAAAGCTCATTTGTACCCGCCATTTCTGATTAGCTAGAACGTTACTGCTTTATCCATTCAGGGGGATTATCACCCAGCACGAAAATTTCAAAAGAAAAGATGTCATCGCAACACTATACAATTTGTTTCCAGGACGATATCACTGCACCTAAATAGGGTGCATTCTGCAGAAAACAATGTCCATATAGGGCTGAAGTTAGCATAGCAAGAAAAGTAAAATACATTAAAGCAGACAAGCATAAAGAATGGGGAGGGTTTTAAAGAACCAAGCCACCGGGGTAAGGACAAATAAACAAAGTATTTTTGTTGAGTCACAGAGGAGCTTCCACGATTGATTTTTATCGCTTGCCCAAACCGCAGCAATCGTGTATTTGGTGGATTGTGGATAACGTGGAAAGCGGTGATTCGAGCGATCTGGTGTTGCGTCATCGGAAGATGTCGAACTATGGCTGATGACGGAGTCTTGTATTTTCCACCCTCATTCCTATGCAACGGATTTGACCTTGATTGCGTTATTTGAATCTCGACTCGATTAGGAATATATTCAACCAATCGGTTAAGTAGTTGTCACTCTGTTCGACATAGATCGCTCCACACCCATATCAGATCAGATTAAAGTTGAAGTACAGAAGAAGACGTTCTCTTGTCGAGCGTGAGGGTTATTATAGTTGTCTTATAGACAGTTTGGGGNAGTTTGGGGATCGGGTGCATAGTACGTCTGAAAGACTGCCGATCTCATCAATCTTTTGAGCAGACGGCTTACGTATGAATCGAAGCAACAATATGATCCACAATTTTGGAACCGACGCAATGGGTTCTTTTGAAATCCTTGGCTTGCTGTACTTGGAATAGGTTTTTTCCGTACATCTTTCGAAGGTTTTGGAGTTCTTGCTCAATTTTGTCTACCGTGCAGGTCCGCCTTGTTCGGTGAGCTAACGTTCGATCATCACCACATTTATAGTTCAGGGGCATGGAGAACTTTAGTTTCAGGTTTCTGATGGTCCGGGTCCCCTCTTGATAAACGAATGGGGCAATCGTTCCGTCTTCTCTTATCATTATGCTGATCTGCCAGAAATTTGGTCGGTTGCTGCCTTTCGGATTCCATTGTGAACCGAACATTTGAATGTAATCTGTTAAGTTCATCCAGAATTATTGTAGCCCCTTCTAAGCCTTCTGTTATAACAAGGGTGTTAATAACCTATCTTTTGTACAGGATGGCACGCTCCATAATATTGTTTACCTTTTGTTCGAGGTATGCCATAAACAAGTAGGAATTCAAAAATCAAAATATATACAACATTGAAACAACCCCAATCCTATATTAATCAAAATATCCATTTTTCCGACTTCCACTTATGCATATGACGAGGTTGATGCATCTGAACTGATGTGGAAAGTTCGAAATATATAAAGAAGGTTTTGGTGTAATTTAAACCACGAAAAATTGCCAGAGTCACGTGCGGTGGCACATTAGGAGCTTTCTTCTGATGCGCTACGGAAGGCGCTACCAAAACCTACGCGGATTTTCTTCAATGTGGTATCACGGTTTCACATTTTGCGTTGTAGAAAAATTTCTCCTGCCCGAAACAATAGAATTGCGTTAGGTTGCGTCTACCGACCTAAAACCCCGGTTTTGGTACTCGGTTCTACTGTTTCTCTACCCCGCTCTGCCCGGCAACAATAATGAAATTTGCAGAGCAGATAAACTATGGTGAGAAGAGGTAGGCATCCACGGGTTCTGTACTAAAAACAGACAACATTTTGGTAGAATGCGTCATACGTTAGAGTGGTCTCTGAACGCAATGGTCAATGTGTAAACAGTGCTTGCAGCTCCTGAAATTCAGATTCCAGATTATCATCAGAGGTAATCACACAGAGTCCGGAATAAACCATGTGTATATTTTCTGAAAAGACAAAATTTTTCAAGGTACTGTCCTGCTCACTAGTCTTTCTGTTAAACAACAAGAAAGGCTATTCAATCTGATTTACTTTCAACTCTGATGTCAAAGATACTTAACGAATCATTCGTTAACAGCGGTACTCTATCTGATATTGATATTCAAATGCATTTATTTTATCACATTTTCTTATTACACAGCAGACGGTGTGGAACCCCATAGTCACGAAGACCAGCTGTTCAGTATTGGCAATCACCAACCTAAGTCCCGGGACTTGGAATGGCGAACTACATAAGGCCCCGCTAGGGTAAGCCTGGTATAGACCGGCCGACAGAGAAGCTGTCTACAGGCATGCCAAGCCTCTCCTAACCGTTTAGTGATTAACGTATTGCCCATAATGTTTGGAGCATCAGTACTCCGCTTGTCACTTCTCCCAAATGTGCCACATGAAGGTCCTTTGGAAAATGAGTTAGCGAACCTTCCATGAGGAGCATAAATTGAATTCCGTTTCTGGAATACAATTATTATTTGTTTCGGTATGTCAAATACCGAAGTGTTGGCAACACCAATAGTTTACGGATTATTGTTCGTTGATCCAGACCATGAAGGAGAAAACATTTGTTGATTGCGTCACATCGTCTCTTCGCAAAATGTGATCACGTGGATTGCTTTTCACCCCGGCTTATTCGATACTACCTGATTAATTATTTTTGATTGTTTAAACCCTATACAGTTTGAAGTGAACTGTTGTTAATGAGTTTTAATATTTTTAATGACAAATTCAACTACCACACCTGAAGTTTAAAATTAAAATTTATCGCACAAATATCACGTTTGTCGACTTAGATTGGTTGGATTCAGTCACCCAAATGTCATTCGACCGATTCCGCTATTGTGTAGCATGTAGTTTCAGAAGGATCGGCCTTGTAATAGACCTAAATCAGTGCTATTCGATTGGATGATAATAAATTTATTTAAATACTGGAGGTTCAGTTATCTTCAGTTAGGATGGCTATCACGGGCTTTGAAACGATGTCTAAATGAAAACCACGCGTGTTTGTGACTATTCCTATATTTGTTGGCTACATAACAAATCTTTTCTTCATAAATGAAATATATTCGAATAAAGATGAATGAAAAATTTCCAAAACAGTGAAAACCTTAGGCAGATAAGCCCGATGTAATATATATACAGGTGTAATGGAAACTGAAGCAACAGGTCCCTGTGAAACATTTTTCGGTTCGTATAGACAACAGCATTTATACTGAAGTGAATATTCTTTTCAAATAGTATTAACCGAGCCTTGGTGAGTCTGTATAGGCGTGATTTTCCTGATTCGTTCATATTCAGCAGGTGGAATGGTTCAGAATGTAGCGGATACTCCCATTTCATCAGTAGTCGTTGACCTAGACAATGGTGAGTTAAGAGGTAACTAAAAGAAATGAAACAGTTTTTATCAACAGCAAATTAACATTGATAATGAGCAAGATGTAAATTGTGTGTACACTAATAGTCCATTATTATTATGCAACCCTATTTAATGCAATTTCTCTGGGTTGTAAAACAATTCCATTTGGTTATCCAATAGAGTTGCTGAAATGGATTATATATTGGATAACATAATGCCTCATAACAA